CCCAGATGGAAAAGCCCCCCCAACCCAGCATCAAACCGACTCTGCCCTGGGGCAGGGGCCTGAACCCCCCAAGCAGATTGTCGGGGCTGGAGATTGGGGGGCCGTGGCTGGTAGTGGGAGGTGGGCGGGTCAGGCTGGGGGGGCAGGGCCGGGGCGGGGGGAAGATGGGGAGGAAGGGGCCAGGCCCACGTCCGGGCCTTGATTTAAAATCGGCCCCAGACAACCGAGTGGCAGCCAGAACAAAAGGCCGCGGTGGGGGGCCAGCCCCATGGTAACCCCCCTCCCCCCGAGGGAGGCAGCTGCCCCCAATCAGCACAGAGCTCCCGACAGCTGGTCCCCCCCACCCCACCAGCTGGAGCCGAGCGGGGAGGTCGGGGCCAGGCAAACATTTGGCCAAGGGGGTTTGTTTCCTCAGCTGCTCCCCCCCACCCACCCCGCTGCCCAGCCCCCAACCCCCCTGCACGCCCGATCTCCTCCCCCTAAATGCCCCCTGCCCCGAGTGTGGGGCCGGATTTCCCAGGGGGTGTCCAGCACTGGGAGCTGGGGTGTTGAGCCTTTGGGGGGGGGGGAGAGACCCCCCCCCCAAGCAGGCTAAGGGAATGTGGGGGGTCTCTCCCCACACCCAACAGTCTGGGCAAAATCACGCGCAGGGAGAATTCGCCTGGGGGGGCGGGGGTCCTGGCTCAGACAAACCAGACCAGGCTGGACAGTGTCTGGGCAGGGGGGGGTGGGGGACGGACGCACGGACTGGAATAGTCAAATCAATAACAGACCAACCGCAGCTCCCAGAGACCCTACAACAACAGACCAGCCCCCAGAGCCGCAGGGCCCAGAGACCCTACAATAACAGATCAGCTCCCAGAGACCCTACAATAACAGACCAGCCCCCCGAGCCGCCCCGCCCAGAGACCCTACAATAACAGATCAGCTCCCGGAGCCGCCACGCCCAGAGACCCTACATTAACAGACCAGCCCCCGGAGCCGCAGGGCCCAGAGACCCTACAATAACAGATCAGCTCCCGGAGCCGCCACGCCCAGAGACCCTACATTAACAGACCAGCCCCCGGAGCCGCAGGGCCCAGAGACCCCACAATAACAGATCAGCTCCCGGAGCCGCCACGCCCAGAGACCCTACATTAACACACCAGACCCCGGAGGCCCAACA